TTTATCTGCTTTCAATTTGAAGATAATCTCTCCAAAAAATTTTTAAAAATTTTTTCCAGTCAAAACGTTTCCGGCTATTTTAATTTTTTCAAAATGCATTTTTCCTTAATTCATCATTCTCTTCATCATCTTCGCTATCATTATCATTGTTCTTATTATTATTGTTAATGTTGTTGTTAATGATGATATTGTTGTTGTTGTTGATGATATTGTTGTTGTTGTTGTTGTGGTTGTTCAATCGGGCGCATACTTAACGCTTCCTGCCCAGACATTCCTCCTCAGAGTTTCATTCCTCCATTCCATTCAACATTCGATTCACTTCAATGATTTTTTTCAATTTTTAACTTTAAAATTGAAAAATTAATGATGAAAAACGCATGTAATGAAAGAATAAGTGTAACGAAACAAAAAAAATTGTCTATATACATATGTACAATACATTTTGAAGTGCTTTTTTGGTAGTTTTTGATATATTTAAACAACATGAACCGTTTTAACAACAACAACAACATCAACAATCAACAACATTATCAACAACACTAACATCAACAGCAAGAACAACCAACAACATGAACAACATTAACAACAACAACATCAACAACATCAACAACAACCAACAACAACATCAACAACAACAACATCAACAACAACAATCTGGCCGCCCACAAATGAACCTATCCGATAAACAATTCTGAAAAACATTATCGGCAACATTACTAACGATTATTTTGTTGATGAGAATACTTAATTATCATCATCGTCAGCGCGTACAACAGCAGCATCTAAAGCCACTTCTACAGCAGCTAAAGCAGCAGCTTCAACAGCATCAACATTAGCGTCGTGGTCGTCATATAAATTTAATAAATTAAATAAATTTAATAGATTAAATAAATTTCATCCATATACAGTAATGACCTGAGTTTAATTTGTTTAAAAAGGTCTAGATTTTTATTTAAAAAAAAATAAAACTTCAAACACGGCCACAACAACAACGACCGAAGCTAATGAAAAAAATTTATATAGAGCAAAAGAAAAACAAAGAAAACAAAGAAAAACAAAGTAAAAAAAGTTCGCCACTCACTTTTTGATAAATTCGACGAATGCTAAGCAATCGAGCGTTAAATGAGATTAAAAGCTGCCATCTTTGCAACTATTAATTATTTTTTGACGAGAATTTTGATAAAAAACATGCAAAAATGAAAAAAATTTTTCTCTTTTTGATGAATTTGTAATGATAAAATATCAAAGCTTTGGTGAAAATTTTGATATGTGAAAAATGAACATGCTAAAAGAAGGCAAAACACTTTTTTTTTGTAAAATATGGACTTTTTCAATGTTCAGAACTGGTTGGTTTGCTGAAATATTACACAAGACACAATTACAGACATTAATAATATCAATTGTGTGTGTGTGTTTGACTGTGTGTGTGTATTCGTTTGTTTATGTACGTACGTGTTTGTTTGTTTATATCTACCTATGTATCAATTCATTGCAGGCAAGCATGAATGAGTGTATGTGTTCTTCAATTTAGGAGAACACTCAATCTAGCAAAATTTGTATGTACATAAACTCTGACACACCCATACAAGCATGCATACAAACATACACACAAACTCACATACACACATATACAAACAAACAAAAATAAATGATATAAATGAAGTTTGAGCCTATAAAATAAAAAAAATCCAACTCCATTATGAAATAGAGACTTTAACGTTGAATCAAAAAGTCATATACAAGCAACTTCTTATTCTCATTTTTCGCATTTGTGTATAAATTTTTTTATTACCATTTTTAAATTTAAGTTTTTTTTGTGTTAACATCACTGTCGTAAACAAAATTTTTTTTTATGGTCTTAATTTTTTTTTCAACAGTTTTGTTTTGTATCACGATATTATCGTCATCATCGTCGTCGTCATCCTATCATCATCATCATCATCATCATCATACTATCATCGTCATCATCATCGTCATCATCATCGTCATCATCATCATCTTCGTCATCATCATCATCTTCGTCATCATCATCATTATCGTTATCATCATCATCATCATCATCATCATCATCATTTTCATTATCGTTATACACACAAGCACATACACACATACACACCTATACCCACACACGCACACGCACGCACGCACGCGCATAAAACCAACAAAAGCTGTAAACAAGCAGAGCTATTTTGGCGGCCTTTTGTTCGAGTTTTGTTTATTTTTGCAAAACTTTTCCTTTTTTTTCAAATTTATAAGAGGAAAAAAAACATTATAAATATTTGATACTATGACGCCATAGTATTCGTGATCCTTATCATGACGTCATCGTCATCACCATTATCAAATAATCATCACTAGCATCATCATCGTCATAATCATTAGTTCTATTGTTCGACTATTATTATTATATTTAAAATTTTTATTAAAACCCTCTTAATTATTATTATTATTATTGTTATTATTATTATTATTATTATTATTACTCTTGTAGTTGTTGTTATTTCTATTTTTATGACTAATAAAACAAAAACAAAATGAAGAAAAAAAAATAAATGGTACATAAAAACGCGCCAGGCAAGCGTCATATATGGGTTGGAAATCCTACATTAATGACGTCACACGTAGACGTGCTCTGATTGGCTGATATATAAGTGACGTAACGTAACGTAACGAAACGTCGGTAGCCAAAACGATGATGATAATGATGATGGTGCTGATGACGATGCCATTTAAGCCTGTTAAATTTTTCAATTTTTTTCATCAGGAATTTTTAATATTACCTTTATCATTATGGCAATAAAAATAATAACAATAAGTATTATTATTATTTATTATTATTATTATCATTGGTGTGTTTGTAAGCGTTTTTAAAGAAGATCTCAGAGGCGTTAAAGATTATTATTGTAGTACATTGCGTGTCACTTTATTAAAGCATTGCAGGGAATGGAGAGAGGAAGACAGTAGCACGGGCAAGCTGCGTCAAAAAGATGCTGTTTCAGCCTTTCACGAAATCGAATAGCAGACAACGCAGGATCACAAAGGTCCCTAAGCAAACCTTTCCATACAGCCGGACCCATTACGGAGAAATTCCTTTGGCCAAGAGCCCCGGACCCATTACGGAGAAATTCCTTTGGCCAAGAGCCCCGGACCCATTACGGAGAAATTCCTTTGCCAAGAGCCAAGTTTGTGTTAGGTACCAACAGTAAACATGAATTGTCAGAGCGCAATGTTTGACTCAGTAGTGGAGTTGTTCTAGGTATGTCTCAGTCGGTTAAATATTTAGGCGTCACTCCTTTAATACAGTTGAAACCATTAGTAGTAGTAGTAGTAGTAGTAGTAGTAGTAGTAGTAGTAGTAGTAGTAGTAGTAGAGTAGCAGCGGCAGCAGTAGCAGCAGTAGAAGTATTATGACGAAGAAACAATGTATCAAATAAATAGATGGCTTGATTAATGGAAGGCATTTGTGACTCTAAGATCTCAGTGTGACATTTTTATAATGTATGTTTGTATGTATGTATGTTTGTATGTGTGTGTGTATGTTTGTATATATGTATGTATGTATGTGTATGTATGTTTGTATGTATGTTGGCCCAAACCGTAACTCGATCACGTCGAATACAAATCTATTGATGTGTGTACGTAAATATGCGCAC